TGTAAAAAATAAAATAAAATAAATTTTTGTTTAACCTAGCTAAAAATAATTAAAGTATTAAAGATATATTTAATATTGCTATTACTTAGTAAACATTTGAAAAATGGTAAAATAATCTTTTGCTCATTTATCCTATCCAGTCCGTCTAACCAAATATTAGATTCACTAAAAATAGTTCTTTCTAGACATCTAATTTCATGAGAAAACAAACACGGGATATACATCCAATCCAACCAAATAGTCTGGGAGATTCACAGTCTTAAGATTCAAGTCTAATGGATTTTAATCCCCTCTTATCCAGTTCGTCCAGTCAAACACACCCATAGAGTATACATATGCATTGGAAGCGTTTGGTAGAGATTATTTAAGTTAAAGATTGATAATAAGAAAATAGAAATTAAAAAGACTCATCACCCAGCTTTTGACAAATTAGTTTTTTTTAACTTATTTAAACTATTTATGCCAAAAAAATTATAAGTAGAAGTTGTATCAAACAGTCTAATACAAACTCTCATATTAAAAGCTACTTCCATAATCCTCACCAAACACCCCCGTTATGTAGAGTTTAGTAGGGCTGGGCATAGGGTTATTTGATCCGCAAAAGCTGCCCAACCCGAATCGTTCGCACCTATTTGGGTGGTTTCGTATAATCGTTAGGATCGGGTGCAAGTTAGGATTTTCTTATTTTGCGGGTTGCGGACGGGTCACAAGTTTTACCTGCATCTACATTCGCTTGCTCGTATTTGTATACGTTGTTTAGTTTATACATTTTCTGCAGAGTGAATGTGAGTCAATTGACTGATCCTAACCTGTGCTTACGGTCTATTTCCTTCTGCAAGTAAATTGGATAGATAGTTTGTAATTTATTTGGGATAAATCATTTGGAAAAATAATGATTTAATGATAAGAAATATGTGATTTTATGACCCAAAATAATATTTAAAAAATGGAAGAAAAAAGGCCCAAAAAAATATTTTAAAAATGAGAAAAAAAGCTCAAAAATAAAATTTTAAAGGAAAGCCCGATCTATAAAGTGTCCACAACCGCCTACATATCAACAAATTATATCTATATAAATCACAATTTGCACTGCAAATAATTACAGGTTTAATTTTTTTCAAACCACAAACATATAGACTAATCCAAATCACAAAACGAACAGCTAAAAATTGATCCACGACACCCCCAAAGATGTATCAGGATCCTCTGAAGTGGAAGCCTGAAGTGATCTCCTAGAGTAAAAGAATCCAAGGACTAAAAATAAAACTAACCAAAACGACGTCGTTTTGGTTAGTAATTTCAAAAAAAAATAAAAAAAATTCAGGTTTAATGCAGAAGCAGAAGGCGGGAGTGAGGGAGAGAAGAAGAGAGAGAGAGGCCGCTCCTCCCTGCCTACCGTCGCCCCGCCATTGCCGCCGTCTGTAACTACATAACAAATGTCTAGTTTCTTTCTTGCTTTTATTATTCTATTTTGGTACATTTGGTTTCACAATCTGAATGAATGTCTGCATATTGGGCTTTCCAATGAACAGGTAAAAATAGGATAATTTTGTGGATATTGTGATAAATCCACATTACTGTAATCTCTTGTTCTTAATAAAATACGGTGTCTTCTCTCTTACTTTGGAGTGAATCACAATTATAAGAGGGGTTTTTCTTCTTCTTCTTCTTCTTCTTCAAATATATATATATATATATATATTGAGTTCTGAAAAGAAATGATAAAAGGGCTTTTGGTACAATTTCAGGAAAAAAGTTGCATTTTGTGTTTCAGCTTGCAGATACTAGTAGGTTCTCTCTGTGAAAATGTTGTGGTTGAAATGGGCACATGGAGATGGCTGACCTTTATTGCTTTATGTCTTCTTTTCTTCGATCTGTTGGAGTATGGCGGGCAACGGCATCGTAGCGGCAAGTCGGGGGTGGGCAGCGGCAGCAGCGGGGCAGCGACGCGTCGGGAGTGGGCTGCGGCAGCAGCATCTCAGCCCTTCTCTCTCTCTCTCTAAATGCCTTCATATCTGCAGAACCCTTTCGATGTTTTCAATTAAAGCTGAATTTTTTTTTTTTTTTTTGAAATTACTCACCAAAACGACATCGTTTTGGTGAGTTTTATTTTCAGCCATTGGATTCTTTCACTCTAGGAGATCACTTCAGGCTTCCGCTTTAGAGAATCCTGGTACCCCAGAGATTAGTAACATATGATGTTAAAGTTGTAACTTGAGTTGTGATCATTTCTTACATTTGCTTTGCATCATTGTCCTTTCCAAACCAACCGTCATTTAGGCACCGTTTGGGGATAAATTTTTTTAACATAATTTTTTGACTTTTTAATTATTTAGGTCTCGTTTTGAAATAGACTTTTTTAGTATTTTTTTGATTTTTTAGCTAAAGTGTGATGTAAAAAAAACTAGTATGTTTGGGATGACTTTTTAACTTTTTACGAATAGATGTACAAAAAGTAGAGAGAAAAGAGAATCTTTGACTTTTTGGTATTGGTTGTTGGGTTTTTAGTTTTTTTTTAGTGATTTTTTGACTTTTTGGCTAAAAAAGTCACTTGCCAAACGAGGCCTTAAGCTTCGTTTGGAAACATGCTTTTTTTAGTAACTTTTTAGCTAAAATATTATGTAAAAAAATTAGTATGTTTAGGATGAATTTTTAATTTTTGACTAAAAGATGTGCAAAAAGTAAAGAGAAAATAAAATCTTTAATTTTTTGGTATAAATTGTTAATTTTTTGGTTTTTTAATGACTTTTTGGCTTTTAAAATAAAAAGTGATGTTGCTAAATAGGGCTTTAGCCTGACTAAAAAATTTATTTGGGATAATTTTTTCACTTTTTTTTGTAGTTAATTTGATGGTTGTAAGAGAAAAAATAAAATAATTATGATTTAGATTTAATAGTTTATCTTATTGGTTAAATTAACCCATTTTATCTTTTTGTTGGTTAATTTAACCCTAACTCATATACCAAACGAAGCCTTAGACTAATTTTGGTTTCGTTTCTTTATTTTGTTTTTTATTTTTTAAATTAAAAAATTAAAATGTAGTTTTGCTAAGAAAATAAAAAAATTTATGTGATTTTTCTCTTCTTTTTTTTTATTATAAAAGAAAATATCTTTTTAATATTTATTTTCTTAAAATTAATTTTATTTTTAAAAAAAAGACAGAGTAAACCGAGCTTGTAGGTAAATCGTTAAAAAAGAAAAGGAAAAAAAGAGAGAAAGAAAGAAAGAAAGCAAGCAAGCAATGACATATATAGTGAGCATTTGGAAAGTTGTTATTTTAATAGATTATTTTAGTTTTTTGTTATTTGAGTAGGTTAAAATTTTTATGTTTAGAAAGATAATTAGATTTTTTTTATGGTTTGATGTGATATTCATGAGAAAAAAAATAAAATTATCTTATTGGTTAAATTAACCCATTTTATCTTTTTGTTGGTTAATTTAACCCTAACTCATATACCAAACGAAGCCTTAGACTAATTTTGGTTTTGTTTCTTTATTTTGTTTTTTATTTTTTAAATTAAAAAATTAAAATGTACTTTTGCTAAGAAAATAAAAAAATTTATGTGATTTTTCTCTTTTTTTTTAATTATAAAAGAAAATATCTTTTTAATATTTATTTTCTTAAAATTAATTTTATTTTTAAAAAAAAGACAGAGTAAACCGAGCTTGTAGGTAAGTCGTTAAAAAAGAAAAGGAAAAAAAGAGAGAAAGAAAGAAAGAAAGCAAGCAAGCAATGACATATATAGTGGACATTTGGAAAGTTGTTATTTTAATAGATTATTTTAGTTTTTTGTTATTTGAGTAGGTTAAATTTTTTATGTTTAGAAAGATAATTAGATTTTTTTTATGATTTGATGTGATATTCATGAGAAAAAAAATAAAATGATTATGGATTTGAAATAACATTTTGTCTTATTAATTATTTTAATCTATTTTATTTATAAATTTTAGTATAAATTAAGCTAAAGTCTCACTTCCCAAACCGCGAATAGGAGGTTAGCAATATACTAATCTATCAAAAGATCACAACCGTTGGTTGGGATGATCTTATAATCAGAGAGAGTGATGATATTATTGTGGTGGGTGCTCAGTGCCCGCATGCTTTGCTTGCTTTTTATCCGAAACTATATAACTAACCAACCCTTCACCTTTCTGACTTTGAAATTTTTTTTCACTAAAGCATGCCCTACATACCCTTGAGTCACGGGCACCAAATTTGAGTGATTTCTGCGTCGTTCAAAAAAATTAAAAAAAAATTAAAAAAATTGAGTGATTTTTTAGCTAAACAATTTGTATGAATTATGAAATTTTATTTTGAGAGTGTAAATTAATAAGATATAAGTTATATCTACAATGAATATAGACTATTAATTTATTTTTCTAAGTATTATTATTTTAGTTATCAACAATGCTACAATTTTAGGGGAAAAATTTAAATGGAAAGTGTTTGAGATATTTATTTATTTTTTTATAACCAAATGTTCGAGCTAACTTGCAATGTAAAGTTAATGACCAGATAAATTTTCAGTAGCCTCTTGAAATTATGACATTGAATCTTATCCTCAAATTTTACCACTCAACTAAAAATTCATAATAGATAATATTTTTCTTAAAAGGTCTATAGTGTCTCTCCTCTCTTCAATTTTCCAATTTTGCCCCTCCTCCAAAAAAGAGAAAAATGATATAGAAGCACACTATGAGATCTATTTTTAAGGCGCAGTGATGTACAAAAGAGACAATTGACCGATAATTAAAGAAGGAAGAAGAGAGACTTGCATTAAATATTTCAATAAATTACTATATCATTAAATTTAAAGAACGAGTCTAACTTTTGAATTAGAGTAGTAATTCTTTAAAAACTAAAAATAAAAAAATAAAAAAGAATCTTACTTACTAGAAGCAAAAGTAATGAGTAAAAAGAACACTGCATGGCCCATCTCACCGCAAGTCATGCCTAAATGGTGCAACTTTACTCAAACTTATTATAGTCTTCCAACATACAAACCATAGTTCTTCATTAGGTTGTTTCACTCTCAACCTTCCCACTTTCTCTATCCCATCTCTTTCCCTTCAATGACCAAACCCAAACCCAACTCTCTCTTCTTCCTCCTCTCCTTCACCATCATCTTTTTGAGCTTCTTCCATGGCAAATCCATGCAGTTTAACATCAACAATGCGTTGTCATGGCTCAATGAGGAAGGCGATGAAGTTGACATGGTTCAGAGTCAACGATCGGCTCTAAAATCTTGCGACTTTTCGTATGGAAAATGGGTTTATGATCAATCTTACCCGCTATACGACTCGAGTTGCCCTTATCTTAGTACTGCAGTGACTTGTAAGAAGAATGGAAGGCCAGATTCTGATTATGAGAAATGGAAGTGGAAGCCACACAAGTGCTCTATCCCAAGGTAAACTTGAAAATATTTTACGAGTTCTGAAAATGTACATGACATATAGTACTATAAATGTATATATAACAATGAGATCTAATTAATTTCATTTCTTAATGTTTGTGACAGTAGGTCTTTTGGGTTGTGATTTTGTTTTTTGGTTTCGATTTTCAAAAATATAGAAAACTTGTTTAGTGAACTGTTTTTGAAAAATGGTTTTGATAATTAATTTCATTTAATATTTGTGACAGTAGGTCTTTTGGGTTGTGATTTTGTTTTTTGGTTTCAATTTTCAAAAATATAAAAAACTTGTTTAGTGAACTGGTTTCGAAAAAGCTACTGAAAATCACTCACTTTTGTTAGAAACAATAAAAAAAATTTGAAACTGTTTTTATATAAAAATGAAAATGATGAATATTTTCAAACTTTTCATTGTTTCTTTTTTTGGAAACAGAAAAAACGTAAACAAACACAAAACATGATTAGTAACCAAGAATATGGATGGGCTAAGAAACTAAAAAATTGTCTATTTCTATGCATGTACTATCCAAAAATTCTTCCATTGATCTTCATTATTTTCTTGTTGGTGATTTAGGTTTGATGCACTGGAATTTCTGGGAAAGATGAGAAGGAAAAGAATAATGCTAGTGGGCGACTCCATAATGAGGAATCAATGGGAGTCTCTTGTGTGCCTAGTGCAATCAGTTGTTCCGACTGGTCGAAAGACGGTGACCTATGATGGCCCTCGCATGGCCTTCCATGCCTTGGTAAGAGTTTCTCTTTCTCAACATTTTCACGTGCACAAAAACAAGTCATAGAACACTTTTTTAGTCCTGACTCTCACAACACTTCTCTGACTGATTATGTGATCAATTTTTGCAGATGTATAAGCTTATCATACTAAAAACCCAAATTATCTTTTTCATTTAATTTTCTTATTCATCAATTGGGTTTTTTACAGTTAATTAATCATCTATTTGTGAATATAACTAACTCAATTGAGCATTAACATTTCACAGGATTTTCAGACATCAATTGAGTTTTCTTGGGCTCCATTGCTAGTTGAATTGAAGAAAGAAAAGGGAAACAAGAGAGTATTGCATTTGGATTTAATTGAAGAGAATGCCAAGTATTGGAGAGGAGCTGATGTTCTTGTGTTTGATTCGGCTCATTGGTGGACTCACTCAGACAAAATGAGCTCGTGAGAGAAATTTCACTAAACATTTTCCATCCATTTTCTTGGCAACCAAACAAAAGTTTGTTGAATTGGCATTGTTAATTTTTACAGGTGGGATTACGTCATGGAGGGAAACAATGCTTACAAGAATTTGAACCCCATGGTTGCCTATGAAAAAGGACTCGTTACATGGGCCAAATGGGTAGATTTGAATTTAGACCCTCGCAATACTCGAGTCATTTTTCGAAGCATGTCACCAAGGCATAACAGGTATGTGAGAACTGGATTTGGCAAAACTATACACGATTTTTTTATTTGACAATGTCATATCCACAATCTTAAATGGATAAAATGGCGAACATAACATACATAAGCAACGTGAAAAATTCAAGAGAGAGAAAAACAACACAAGTAAATGGAAAACAACAATGTTAGAAATACTAACGCATTTACTAACAATCTTACTAACATACTCACAAGTTTTGATAGCATCAACCATCACTAGGTATGGACCTATATCAATTTGTGAGTGTATTAGTAAGACTGTTAGTAAATATGTTAGTATCCTAACATTTTTCAATGGAAAATAATTTCAAATTTGTAGAGAGATAATTTTCAGAATTCTAGTGGAGTTAATTGAATTTTTATAAAGAAAATTATAGAACCTTGTATACAAATTTAGTCTGTTTGGTTGAGTTTTCAAAACTCAATAGGTCAATTTAGGAATGCGTGTAAAGCGCGGACACACAAGGATGGGAGCTTCTATATGCACACATCATATCCCCTCTTCTCACACACTTAATGAGAGAGTGTGTTGGAAAGTTGTGTGTGAAGGATGTGTATGGAGAGAGAGTAGTCTGTGTAAATAGATGCTCCCCACAAGGATGAATACTACTGGTGTATATGAATTCATGTGTGTGTTTCCATTGTTGATTTTTTTTTTTTGTGTGTGTTTTTTTTGTATATTCCCAACTTCTTGTGCAGAGAAAATGGTTGGAAATGCTACAATCAGAGGGAACCTCTAGGGTTTGCAAGCCACCCTCATGTTCCTCAGCAAATGATAATCCTAAAAGGGGTGTTGAAAAAGATGAGATTTCCAGTATACTTGCAAGACATTACGACGATGTCGGCGCTTCGGAGAGATGGGCATCCCTCTGTCTATGCCAAAGCTGTGGGAGAAAAACAGAAGCAACACTTAAAAGACATCAACTCCGACTGTAGCCATTGGTGCCTTCCTGGAGTGCCTGATACTTGGAACGAAATGCTAAATGCTTTGCTTTAAACTATGTTATGTATAGAAATGAGTGGTTAGAATAATTGTTCTACCAAATTAGGTTTGGCTTTGTTTTGTCTTCTTAGAGTCTATGGCACTTTGTGTTCTTGGTTTTTTAAGATAATATGTTGTGAGACTATTTGTCAGGTGTGTGACTTTCTGGTACCAAATGAAATTGACCAGGTTTTCTTTGTTACTTTTTTACTGATAATAAACTTAGACAAAGTTTAAGAAAGTGACAATTAACCAATCCTAGGAATCCAATGAAAAAAGAGAGAGAATAATGTGGAATTAGGACATGGTATCAAAGTTCCAAATTTCTCTGCTTCCCTATTTCAAAATACTCAAAATGATTATATGTCGAGATTATGATATTTCAATATTATGACATGATCCAACGGTCATGGATGTTTTGGAACAAAAGAGCTTTGGCTATTAAATGCGGCAGCTCACTCATTATTGGTAAAAGGGGAGACAAATTAATCAGTTTTGTGAGCCAAATAAACTCAGTTTAAGGTTAATCCTAACCTAACAAACAAAACATGATTGTCATACAATCAGCTAGCATGCCAGTAATTTAGGGCATCTTCCAATCACACTTCCATTACGGAAAAGTTAAAGAAAAGAAGAGAAAGGGAAAGAAAGTTGTATATATATGTGATTGAATCTTCCTTTTTTAAAATGATGGTTGTCTATAATGATCAATGAAGGCTTTTTCATTTCCACAGAGGAAGTGCCTGGTAATTGTGAGCACCATGAAGGTTAATTAAGGAATATTACCTTCAACTTGTACCCAAGGGGCTATGATCCTCTGTCCCTAAAAAGACCGCTCCATGCTTCTCCCCGCCACATAATCCAATTTTTATGGTAAATTACAACCGTAATCCTTTGAGTGTAATTTATCTGTTGGGTCAATTAATAGTCTTATAATTCCAATTGTATTAGTTTTACCCTAAATTCCTTTACGTTTACATCCATTTAGTTTATTCGATAACATTCCTTTTGAAATTCAACTGAAATCAATGGATTAAATTGGCGCAATGTAAAAAATCTGAAGGATAAAATCGATACAATAAAAAACTCCAATGATCAAATATTAACACGAGGAAAATTAAGTAATCACGGGTATATGCCCTAAATTTTAATTCATGCATGGGGAGGGACTAGGGAAGGTAACAAGATATTTTAGGTGGATTCCATGCCGTATGGGGGCGCAGAGCGGAGGATGCTCAAGACCTGCTCAACCAGTAACTAGTTCTCTTATCTTCTTTTTTATCTATTTATTTATTGTTGAAAATTGTGGGAATCAGAGAGTTGTTACCAGAGATCTCTAAATGTTGTGAGGAACATGAACTGATTATCCTGATACATTCAGATTCAACAGGTGACATTGTACAACTTGACATACAGACATCAATTGCATTATCCCTAGTAACTATCTTCATCTGTTTCTGGCCTCCGAAGGTAGTATCGCAGGCAATTTGTCAACACCTGCATCGTCAAACAAGAAGTTCTTTCATAAATAAATAAAAAAAAGATGAGAGAGAGAGAGAGAGAGAGAGATGGCATGTCCATAAAAACAAAAAACTCTAAAACAATGAAAACCCATACTGCAATATAAAAGAAACAAATGCTAACTGCTGAGGTAACAATCCTCAACACAGTTCACTCTACTTGTTAAAGAAAATTTTACAATAATGTCCAAGCAGTTACCTGAGACAGGGAACTGTTCAACGCTGCCCCTCTGTAGCTGACATGAAACTTATCCTTGGCTACCAAACCCTACACAATGACAGCAATATAGTCGATAGTGACAATAATTGGGAAGAGAGAGAGAGAGAGAGAGAGATGGCATACTTCTGTATCAATCTCTGCGGATTCCACATTAATATTAATATCAGCCATAATTTTGATGATTTCCAATAGCAACCCAGGCCGATCTGCTGTCTCTATATAGAGCAAGCTGAATTCATCCAGAAAAGAAAGGAGGATTATGCAGATGATATACCAATTAGATACACTTTTCATGTCTGTCATACTTGGTTCAGTATCTTACTATTGAACGATGAGTCATTTTGAGGTAGAATTACATAACATTAAAAAAAAATTTGGGCATAATAATACTTGAACCCTTTCTGATGTTAATTTCATGAAGTTACAAACCTCCTCTTAGGTCCATCATCTTTGACTTGTACATGAGTTGCAATATCAACATCAAGCTGTCAACAACAAAACAAACAAATTGAATGGGAAAGGTAAATAGTCATATCCTAGATAGTTATAGTATCTAAGAATGACATCTAGAACAATAAAAAATAATGATAGGTTTGAACATATGGAAATCTATCAGCTTTACAACTAATATAGATCAGCAATTTATTACCAAGAACTTTATTTCCATCCCTTTTACTGGTTCCATCATGCCATTTCATAAAGATATTGCAAAACCTTGAGCACAAAACAACAATTCGTATCTTCATTGCATCTTGAACTTTGCTTGAAAAGAAGGAAAAATGATCCACAGAAGTTCGTGGAAAAACAGGATATCAACTTGTGGCACTCGAGATATTTCAAAGCCAACATGGGTTAAAACGCCAAAGTATAACAGATTCGTGGAACACATGAAAGTTCAAAACAATGATTGCAAAATCTTTCTGATTAAAGAAACAACATTTCAAACTGACTTCTTTTGACATTTGACACAATTCAAGAGAGTGAACAACCACCTTGCCACAATATACAAATCCAAATTGATCATGTTGGTAAGTCAAGTCACATTCATCACCAGAAAACTATAATCCATCTCAAATCAACTTTGAAGTTGGAAGAATCAAACATTATTATATTTTTTGAAAGGTATTTGTATCTTTAAGTATGAAATAAAACTCTGAACTTTTAATACACTATTCTAATGATCAACCTTACACACTTCACCCAAATTGGCAGTTCAGGAACTAATTTGACACTGGTGGTATTCTAGACATGCAACTTGGCTAAATTCATGTAATTTTGAATACAAACTGTGTTCCTGTAAAGCACTACTCAATACATAATGCCAGGGAAGGCACTGGCAGACATAGGTGGTGATTAATAATCACATTGACACAAAGTTCGAAAAAATACAAGAAACAGCTTATACTTCCAACAGAAGCTTCAACATAATTGCACATTACTACATTTATGACCATCTGCATAGACCAGCAGGTCGCTGCTTCAATTTGGGGTTTGTCACATCATGTGCCCTCAATGATGGATGACAAAATTTTCAACACTAAGCAAGCTAGTTCAAAATTATCAAAAAATAAAGAAGACCAGTAGTACATCACTAGAAAGAATAGTAACATGCATCATATGAAAAATCACATTGAGATGGAGATCTTAATTGAGAAGATCAGAAAGAATGACAAGTCCTATGTTTCCTTAACTATATCACCTTCTTTTCTGGAGCTTTTATTCCGAAAGCCTCACCCATTGCAAGTCGCTCACTAGACTCCTAACAAGCACAAACGGTCAAAGTGAGGAAAATTTTCAGACCACCATAAGCAATGCAAGGAATATGAAAGTAAATTTCTTCCACTATATAGACGAGGATATGAAGAAAATATTTTTAAAAAAAAACTGAATTAAACAAATTCACAGAGTGAATACATCAGTATTCAGTACAGCAAACATACTGGATGATACTTCAACAGGTTGTTGATAATGGTTAATCGAATACTCTCCAACAGATCAGGATCTTCAACTTTGCGCCCAGTATCTCTAACACATTAATAAAGATGAATCCATAAATGCCTTCAACTATTGCGTTAAAACATGGGACATTCAATAATAGATTACAATGTTGCCATATTTTAATAATATTCTGTTCGTTTTTAGCAATATTGCTGAGACAAGTGTTCACTTACAAGTTTTCTTTTACATTCACACAACTATCCATCCATCCATCTCAGATATGGCATCAGGGACAGATGCCGCAGTAAATTATGATGCCAAACAAGCATGGGATAGGTAGACATTTTACAGGTGAAAAAAGAAAGAAAGAAAGAAACAGCACTCATTTGACTCCCTCCCACCCATCAAGGATAACAAATAATTAACATTAGGAAAGGTAATCTTTTAAACCTCCTTGTCAACAGTTCAGAGAAGTTTCATTATTACTTCTAAAAAATGTGTTTCGTCAACTTTCACAATATTCAACTATTCATGGTTTGTATCATTTACCACATATCTTATATCATATCATGTATTTTTATGTGTGTTGTAATGCATTTAATATAAAATACGTTTTAATGATACATATCGATTTACCTCTAAACAGAATTGTAAAAGATGTTGACAACACGAGCCATAGACACATTACACCTATGAATAGCTTTGATGCACTAAAACCAATAAATGAAGAAACTAACATACTGCAAGTTCCATGCATGAAAGTCAACAAAATCTACACTTGGTGGATCAACAAGTGAAATTGACAACCTATGTTACTACACTAAAGACTTCCAGCAAGTGCATCATTTCTAACTCTACAAGTTCTATCTAAGCACCATAAAAATGCAAAAATAATTACTCACAATCGTGTAATAAAAAATTTTGTTTGTTTTGCTGATCCCTCAGTAGTAACAGTTCCCTTTGCCACATCCAAGCCTAAATCTTTTAGTGCCTTCATCTGCCCAAGCAATTCAAGATAATCTTAGCCGCAGATTAGATAACTCAAGAGAATAAAGATAAGAAAAGATCATGTAAAGCACCAAACCCTAAAAAATGACAGCTTTCCAGAGAAATGAGAAACCATCCGACAGCCAAAAAAACAAAAACAAAAAAAATTTATAATCATATTTGTATAATATGTCCAATGTATTGTCACATTCACTTCACCGTATCAATGAGAGCTCCAAGGCGATCTCCAAAGCTAATTTGCACAATTGTTGCATCAGAATCTGAATATTGGTCTATTTGAACAATTGGCATTGGAACATAATCAGCATCCTGCTCAGACTTCTGAAATGGAAATATGGTGTTAATGTTTCAACCTAGGCAAGTGATAAAAAATAGGTAGAAGAACTTCAGTTACACTCCTGGGGGGGGACTGGTTACACAGCCATTAAAGTATAATTTTTTTGAACACTGCAGAGGCTTTGTGAATTTGGACATTTAGTCACTAGATATATATAAAATTGTAGTGGCATCTCTAGCTGGTTAGTGCCCTATAAATAACACTCCGTACAACTTTAAATTTGAAAGTTTGAAAAAGACTTGCAGCAACGTATGAACGAACATGCTAATGTCACTGGGGAAAGGGCCATCACCCTTCTGCTCAACTGCCATGTTTAGAGTAATTCTTCATGAGAAAAGGGCTAGACAATTGGAACTACCATAAATCCATAAAAGTAGTACTGATGAAATTGCTACTACAAATTCGCTTGAATTTGCTGGGAAAAGATCTAAATTCTCCAAAAAAGTATCAGATTAGACAAACTAACACTGCCATCATTCGTGCATGATACCCCGTTATACCCTGTTTCTACATTGTGTACCAAAACATTGCTGAGTTCAACATCTATCCCAATTTTAGAAACTTAAAAAGAGACATTTTTAGAGTAATAATAAAATGTCAACTATAAAAGCCTAGAAGAATATAAGATCTGTCAAAACCAAATTTCTGAACAAAAGACGAGATTGAGTCAAGTCAACCAGCAAAATGTCTAATGCAACTTATTTCATATGCTGCATATTATTCCCTGAACAATTTCTTCAGTAGATGGGAAGCAATAAAGAAAACTAGGTTGCAGCCTTGCAGGTTCAATGCATTTTATAGAGTAATTACATCAGTTGCAGAAAACAATTTCAGCGAATGGCACTAATACTAACATGTATAAAAAAAACTAACTTCATAACTATGTGATTATGGACATTCATGCATTTGTAGTCACAAACAAAACTTGTAAGAAAACTGGGAAAGCAGGGAGTATTTAACTAACCAATGAAGTTGAACCCACCGAATCCACACCATCTACAGAAGCATGCACAATCTTCCTACATAAAAGTTTCAACAAAATCAAAAACTAACAACAGTGTCATCACAGATAGTTGATATAATCAAGAAACCCATCTAAACACAACACTGCACTAATGCTTTTGAAACTGAAATTTCAAGTAAATATGTGACTCTTTTAAATTTGAAAAAATTATTGAACTTAAATATTATATAAGGAACCCACCAAATCACTTCCATTAAATAACAACCACCACCATACACATACAGATACTATCAAGTAGAGCAATCAATTGCAAAAATAAAAGTACTATGAAGTATTCAAACCGCGACCAATTATTAGAATCCCAAACAGAAATATTCATCTAACCACTATGAATCACTCACTCATCGCCCTCAAATTAAATTTAATCGTCCGCTTGATTACCAAGAAATTGTAAGAACATAACAGAAAAGAACAAGGAAAAACTTTTTATGATCACTCATCTCATCATCACCCTTAAATAAAATCTAATCCTCCGTTTGGTTACCAAGAAATTGCAAGAAAAGAAGAGAAAAACTGTGTCTTTGTTTTATCCCAAATCAACAGAACAGACGTTTATTATGACTTTACTGCTTAGAGAATGAAGATAATAGATAAAGATGGTTATAATACCGACCCATAACAATCACCAAAATTTTCGTTACTTGGAAATTTCTACGAACATAAGGACTTCACTGAGCTCGAATAGTAGTCAAGACTGATGAGTATTCATTGTTTCACTTTGATAGCAACACTAAAAAAAATTCATTCATACTTAATTTTTTTTCTGAGAATCAGATTAGGCTTACTTTCTTGGGGAAAAGGCGATTCGGAATCCAAGAAATCCGTGGCGAATCGAGGGAAGATCGGATCCAATCTTGGAGGATTGGAAGAGAAAGATCTTGGGAGCGGAAACGGAAAGGAAATCGGAAAACCTAGATCGACTGAGAGCGAATGAAGAGGAAGCGCCAGCTATTGCCATGGGAAAAAAAAAAACAAACTGGAAATTGGATTCTGTGAGAGACTGTTTTGCGGTGTTTGGGGGATCTGTATGTATATATTTGTTGATCGGTGAGTGAATTTTTGTTTTTAAAATGAGTGAGAGTGCTTGTATTGTAAAATATTAAAATATTACTTATTAGCAATGAGAGAGAGTAAAATAATTGGACCTTTTTTTGGGCTGTTGCAATCGACAGCGAGTCCTGGCTTGTCCGAATCCGGACTATATGGCTGTTTGGCAGAAATTATTTATAGTTTATTTTAGTTTTTAGTTAAATTTAAATTATTTTGATGTGTTTGGTTTAACTTATAATTTATAACTTTGTGGAAGTCAGAAATTAGTTTATTCTTTGAGTGGGACAGGAGATACTTTAAAAATAAGTTGGAAATCAGCTTAAGCTGAAAGTTATAAGGTATAAGCTGTTTAGACATAAGTTATAAGCACTTTCCCACAGCTCTACCAAACAGGGCTTCTATCGGTTTGCTTTTATGTTTGGATTAGTATTTTATTTCACGATAATGTTTGTTTTCATCGAATTTTGATTTATTTAAATTGTTTGAATTTATTATTGGTATTTTTTTATAATAATATAAGAAAAATATATAAAATAAATTAAATATAAATGACAAAATAATTTTTTATTTATTAAAAGATAAAATACAAAATAGACGACACAATTAGATACAAAAATAAATTATATTACATTACTAAATGAACAAATTATTAACATGGATAACTAAAAATTAGAACTTGCTATGATAAGCTAAATTCTGAAAAATTAAATAACAAATAATAAGAAAATAAGCAAACCGAAACCTGTATGATACCACAGCTTTCTTAAAACAGATTCACTACCTCTTGATGGATGCTGGAGGTATGCCAACGTCTGCCTCCCAAGATACGACGTTCGAAATCAGTTAATGCAAAAGTACTTTCTAAATAACTTCGGTGAACTTGATAATGGCTGCATTCTCTCTAACAATAATTAAAGAAAAGGCTAGCAAAAGAAGATAAGAAAAAATTTCTTTTGTGTAAAATAAATATCTCCAACTTTTTATTTCAAAAGACCAACTCTATTTTTCATCAAAAAATTCTTTAAAATTATTCTTCTAAGTTGGAGGGAAAAAGTCCTTTATTTATCTAAGTAGGGGAATCCTTAGCCATGAAGACCATACATCAATAGAGCCATCAAATGTCATTAACGAAAGCCATCAACTCTAGCCAATAGGGTTAGAGTTACAAAGGTTGAAAACCTATGGCCACTAATATGGTCATCAACTTTATCATCAAGAGATGAAAGTTACAAAAGTCTAAACCTCCCATGCGCTTAATATATACAAATAAATATGTATATAATGATGTTTGAATAAACCAACTAGATGGGTCGCAAAATGGATACTAATGTTAAATCACAACTCGATTCAAACCCAATTCTCAAACACAAGCACAAGTTATAAGCCCAACACAACATAGTTTAGCCCAAACTTAAAGTACAAGACCAAACCCAACACATGCACAAGTACAAACACAAGTCTACGCCCAGTTCAAACTAAGACTAAATCTAAATCTAAGACAAACTTTATTGATGTCCACTTTATGAGACAATTCTCATTCACAACTCAATAGTTTCGGCTCATTATTTTTATAGTGTAATCTTCTTACTTGAGAGAATACAAAACCACTCAAACCCACCTCAACCGGCAGTTGGATTCCACTTTAATTTTGAATTAAAGTTGTCGAAAAATTATTATTTTTCAACATTTATATACACTGGTCATTTGATTGGTCATTCAAACAAATTTCGGCTGATATATCGAATGATAAAAATAATAGGCACAGTTAACAAGAATTACGCCAATCGTCCGACCGCCTCATTTGGGTAGAATCAAGCTATCGTTGTTTTAGTGGACTAAGCATTTTTGTTCATTCCATTAGGGATGGCAATCTGAAACCGACCCGACGGTGACCCGACCCCCCGACCCCAAATTTAGTGGTTATTCACAGAAAAATATCCCCTACGGGCCGAGGACGGTATTCAAAAATCCATCCCCGATGATATCCGGGCCGGAGACGAGGATAGTTGTTTCAGCCCCGGCCCCGACCCCGGCCTCGCCCCGCTTAATCTCTAAGGTGAAATTACCATTTTGTCCCTGGATATATATATGCTTGTATTTGTTTAGGGTTTGAGTCAAACAGACACTCAGCCTCTGCCTCTCACTCTCACTTACACGGCGCTCCTCTCTCTCTCTCGCTAGCCACTGGTCTCTCTCTCTCTCTTCCCTCTACTCTGATTCACTCTCGCACATCTCCTCCAGAGGCGACACCGCCACTGTCCGCTCCACCTCCGTCGCGACCCTCTCTCTCTTACAGTCGCCGCCACCTCCTTCATCCCCTCATCTCATCTTCGTCGTCCTTCATACACGCAGCACACAGCACACTCAGCACCATCGCAGATCTCCTCAGTCGTTCGTCTTAGTCACCATCGCAGCAGATCTCCTTCATCGACCTTTCAAATCTGTGTTGATGATGCACGCGACACACTCAGATGATCTCCTCCGTCGTCCTCTCAGATCCGAGCCAGATCTCATCACTCTTGTATACATGTGTCTCTTTCTGTCAATTTTTTTTTTGGATAGTTGGTCTGTTAATGATTTTGTTATTGATTTTGTTGTTGATTTTGTTGTTGATGTTGATCTGTGTTGTTGATTTTGTGTGTGTGTGTCTCAGATCTGTGTTGTTGAAAATGTATGTGTGATCTTGTTGTTGATGATATTGAACAAATTTAGGTCGGGAAATTTTCGGGGTCTGGGAAACCCAATCCCCGTTTGGGGGCGGGGACGTGGACGGGGAGGGTGATAGGTTCCCCGTCGGGGATCGGGGCCGGGGCCGGGACATTTTTCACCATCGGGGATTGGGGACGGGGAGTGTGATCCCCGACCCCGCCCCGCCCTCAAATCAAGGATTTATGCAGCTTGCTCATAAGGCCTCATGTGGAAATTCTATCTATCCCAAGTGTTTTAACTTTGTTGCATAAATTACATTGAGATATTTAGTTGTTTAGCTCTGTTATGTTCATTGTGATAATTTATTATTCTAGTGTAAATTTGTTTCTTTTTAAGATATTATCATATATTTTGAAGTATGTTTTGCATGTCCAATTTTGCAGATGTTGACATCAAAAGATTCTAATTTCATAGGGTATACTTTCTAAGATATTATCATAGGGTATATTTTTAAGATATTATCATATATTTTGAAGTGTGGTGGAAGCTGTCATTGAACTTCTTATGCCATCAACATCATTGGCATGCCTATAGAGGCAGGCTGTGAATGATGGCAGATTTGAGGTGAGTTCTTGATGCACTAAAGATTTAGGACCAATTGTTGACAATGAATGGCACACAATCAAGCAGTAAGGAAGCAAATCTAAGACGCTAATTCATTTCAGTTGTATGATAAAGTAGTATTTCGATCAATAATGTCATAATTTGTTTAAAAGATGATGAGTACGTAATTTATTTATATTAATTCAATCCATATTATTTTTATAAAGGTTAAAAATGTCAGATCTTAACTCTGAAGCACCAATTAACTCTGAAGCACCCGTTAACTCTCAAGTACCATTTGAGAGTGACGCGTCACAACATTCATCGCCAGCTACGAACGCACCTACAAACTCACTGTCTCCCCTCTCTAATCAACATGTTATTGATTTAGAAGAGTCTAATACTACTTGTGGAGGAACTAAAAGAAAACCAAGTGTTGTGTGGGAACATTTTAAAAAACAACAAGTTAATGGGGTGTGGAAGGCAATATGTAATTATTGTAATAAGCATCTTCGAGGTGATTCAAAAAATGAAACTAGGCATTTGCATGATCACCATAAGAGTTGTACTAGGAAAAAAGTGATGGACATGAGGCAAAAAGTGTTAACTAACAACTTTAGTAGAGAGATTCCAAAAATGAATTCTTATATCTTTGATCAAGATTTTGCTAGGAAAGAGTTGTCACATGCCATAATCTTGCATGAATATCCCCTCTCTATCGTAGACCATGTTGGTTTTAAACGATATTCAGCAGCACTTCAACCAATGTTTAAAGTGCCTTATCGAAATACAATAAAAAGTGATATTTTAAAGATTTATGATTATGAGAGGGTGAAGACATTGAGTTTGGTGGAGCATAATAAAAGTAGGGTGACAATCATAACTGATATGTGGACTGCTAGCAATCAAAAAAAAGGATTCATGGTTGTCACCGCACACTTTACTGATGATTCATGGACATTGCAAAGTCGCATTTTGAGGTATATTTTTGTAAATTTGCAAATCATTTAAAAATTCTATCTTATTCAGTTCAATTTGCATGTTGTTAATACTTGTTTATGAACATCATATGTTAGGTTTATTTATGTTCCATGTCCACACACAAAAGAAGTTCTTTGTGATACTTTGCTTGAGTGTATGATGGATTGGAATATTGATAGAAAAATCTCGACTGTTACTGTTGATAATTGCTCCACAAATGATGCCATGATTACCATGTTGATGGATAAGTTAAGTAATTCATCGCTTTTGTTGGGTGGTACTTTGTTTCATATGCGTTGCTGTGCGCATATTTTGAATTTGATAGTGAAAGATTGATTAGATGTCATACGAGTTGGTGTGAAGAAAATTCGAGAGAGTGTAGCTTATTGGACAGCAACACCAAAAAGAGTAAAAAAATTTGAAAAAACAGTTAACCAATTGCGTATTCCACATACTAAGAAATTAGGACTTGATTATGCAACTAGGTGGAATTCGACCTACTTGATGCTTCAGACAGCCTTATTGTATAAGGATGTCTTTTCTAGGTTAAAAATTAGAGAGCCCCAATATAAGACTGTGCCAACTGAGCAAGAATGAGAGTTTGCTAGAGAGATTAGTGGGAGGTTTAAGATTTTTTTTTTCTATCACTGAGTTGTTTTCTGGTACAAAGTATCCCACAGCCAATGTTTGTTTCCCAGCTTTATGTGAGATTATGATGACACTGTCTCAATGGCTCTCTTGTGAAATTGAAGTGATCAGAAC